ATGCTAATTGACTTCATGCCCCAGTCAACTAGCATTATGGGTAATGTAGTCATTCTACAGATTCAAAATGAGAGATTTACGGTATTATAATACACTGTAGATTAATCCCGTAGTATTCAATTTAAAGACAATTGTCAGTCTCATTCACATTTCTGATCACGTTTTACATGATGACTTCATATTTTTGGTGATGTTTTTTCATTTTCACCAGTAGGGTCTAGCTTCAGTATAGAGAAGGGCAGAGAGGACCAGCAACACCAACACAGATGTTCCAGAGACCAGAAGAGAGAGAGACTGTCTGTTTACTCAGCTATCTGAGAAGAGAGAGAGACGAGTAGAGCGGATAGAGCAGCGATGATGATGAGATAGAGCGAGAAGGACGAAGAGGAGCAGAGAGAGCTGCGCGCGTAAGAGAGAAGAGATACGATGAGCGAAATAGAGACCGATAGGAGAGGAGAGCGGAACGATCAAAGAGAAGATCTCTCTACAGATAGAAGGGAGCGGTGCGAGAGATCGGAGAGATCTATGAGAGAGAGAAGAAAGAGAGAGATGACTCTCTAGAGTCTCTCTCTATCTCTCTTCTCTCTCTCTATCTCTCTCTCTCTCTCTCTCTTCTCTTCTCTCTCTCTCTCTCTCTCTCTCTCTCTCTCTCCTCTCTCTCTCGAGTTGAGTTCTACCTCTCCCTTTTATGGACCTGTCCGACCAGACCCTTACCACAGATACAAGATTAGTTATATAAATATTTGCCCCTGCCTTGCTTTTTCTTGATCTCGCTCATCCTCACAAACCACCACCTCCGCTCCCCATCTCATGATTATTTCTGTCCAGCCCAAGACCTGCTTCATATATCTGTCAAACTTTGTTTAGATTGGGAAGACACGGAACGACAGTTCCAGCTTCGGCAACCTCAGTTTTTCCACACACGACATGGCCGACACGCAATGCATACCGGTGCATTATTTGGTGTCTGCCTATGTGAAAACACGTTTATATGGTCTCTAAAACGTATATAGAAGATAAGGTCCTAAAACAGTAATGTCACGTCTTCTCGCGTCACCACAAATCTCATATTATTTCATAATTATTTTTGACTTTTGATGACATCAAATTACACTGTTTTTATTATGTTTTATTACTACAGAGCATAGAAATGCACACTTTTCACATATGTAGACACTGGTTTGGCGCTGGAGATCATGAATATGATGTTGAAAAGTGGTGGAATCCCCTTTAAGGTAACCCTGCATGGAATCTCTGCTTTGAGTGTAGGCCTACTGTATATACAGAATGCATTCAACTTTGACGGGTGTTAAACTTAGAAAACTCCCTACTCTGCTTTATCAAAAGCACAACTAAATTCTACTTTGATGTATTTTCTGATTCATTATTTAAGATCAGCCATTCCCTAGAATTTTGCAAGACATGGTCCTTAGGATGTTTTGGCAGAAGACTGTTGCTGGGCATGTGTAGACAAAGGACAAGTGTTGCATAAAACATTAATCTCAGCCAATTAAAGATTTATCACGACACAAGATGAAATCCCAACTCGAGGCCAGAGGTAAGACGCAACCATCCACTTGAGCGCCCCTTTGCAGATAAACACTTGAGTTTATGTCTCTTCAGAATAGGGCTGAGAATTTGTACTGCATGGAAGTGGCCTCATGAAATGTTAATGCCATTCTCAGTAGGAGATTAAGCCGCTTCATTTATTTATGCTGCATACAAATATTAATGCTCAGCCGGGGGCTATGGCCTGTTCTTTTCATCCCTGGTCAGAGTTGTGGGGGGTCGGGGGGGGTGATGGACAGATTAGAATCTAGATGGAAGTTAGGTTGGTAGGTAGGAGGTAGCGAGTTTTGGTATGAAGGAAACTTAGTAAGCAGATGGAAAGGTAAATAGTACATGAGATTCAGAAAGATGGGGATTGGTTGAGAAGCTTTCTATCTTTCCATCAGTGGTGGCTGTTGGCAATTTAAATCGGAGGGCGAGGTCATTAATGGCTGAAACAGAATGGAATGGTAGCAAACACGTTTTCCATTCCAGCCATTACTATGAGCCGTCCTCCTGTCATCAGCCACCGCTGCTTTCTATGTTATATATCGTTTTTTAATCATGAGGGCAAAACTTCACTTTCAGATAACAGAAATGCAACACAGTTCAACTGATTTAAATGTGAATTATTGTCTGTAGATTACCTGTATACTACAAACCTTTCTCACATCCACACACAGCAAATTGGAGTAAAACACAGGCCCCAGTTTAATAAATTGCAAATACCGATCAACTGTGCCACAGATTCATTAAGAATGTTTCCATTAAATATAGGAGCAGAGATGTATGAAATACTGGGGCAACTACAATTTTCATTGCTGTTTGTGGAATGGAGGTGGGAAAGGTTGGCAATCTACAGATAATCGTTTTGGGGCAATCAGATTTGTATTGGTTGCCCTGTGTTGCATTTCTGAAGGAGTGGCCCTTAAATTGGTTGACACTGCCACGTTGGGATATTACAACAACAAAGACATTAATGCAAACAATGAACCCTTTTTTTTTTTTTACTCTGACATCATTGTACTTGCGATAGAACAGCAGCATACTGATTTTTTTTGTTACCCCGATGCTCCCCAACTCTGCTTTGTCAACAAAACAAAAACAATTACGACAGCCGTGGGGCGGACAGTGGTGCTGTTTTCCCCGGCTGCAGATTCCATCTTCCTAAATGGATGAGACTGTTTTCAACATTATTGTAAGAGCCTCTTTCATACATCCACGATTGCTTCCATCCTCTCTCAAAACACATTGGAGAAGGGTTAAATGGCTGGTTGAAAACAGATGAAAACAGTGTATTGGTTGAATACTTTTTTTTGCAAATCCAATATTTTTTCCACTTTGATTCCACGTCACAATACGTTGACAAATGAATGTTTAAACAACGTTGATTCAACCAGTGTGTGCCCAATGGGTCATGATTTAAACCCTATCATTAAACTTCATGAAGCTACAGGCTAAGCAGAGACTATTCAATGAAGCAAGTAGCCTGGTGGTTTGATTAATTTGACATGCAACCTATTGGTGTTACTGTAGGAAGCTTTTAATACTTATTTTTAGGCTTTCAATTTATAAGGAGTGAGATCTAGGTATTTCCACCCCCATTTTATCATCTAAACCAGTGTTTCCCCATCTCCAGTCCTCCAGTACCCCCAACAGTACACATTATTGTTGTAGCCCTGGACAAGCACACCTGATTCAGCTCATTGAGGGCTTGATGATTAGTTGAAAAGTTGAATCAGGTGTGCTTGTCCAGGGGCTACAATAAAAATGTGTACTGTTGAGGGTAATCGAGGACCAGGGTTGGGAAACACTGATCTAAACCACATTAGTATGAAACCACTGAATCTAACTAAACTGTCTATGTACTTCTCCTCAAATGAAGAGTACATGATACACAGGCCACTATTTATAGCTAGCAGCTCGGTCTACGCATTAATCGGCAAAGCAAATTAGTTTTCAAAAAGCAGAAAGACAAACTTAGTTTAAATTAGCATATTAATAGCCTGAGAGATGAAGGCCTTCTGAGGCACTTGATTTGAAACACCCACATCAGATTTCTGCTTCACACTACCCTTTGTTCTCCAGCAGTGCAACTGAGGTGCATTCCAATTTCTTCCACTAGCACCGCCCCTCTTGTGGCCTGTAGGCTAACTGCAACCGGCTATTTTTAGCTCCAACAGCTCACACTCACACTTACAGGATCTCTCATTCAATTTGCCAGATTGTCAGAGTAGAATTCAAAATGTTTTATTCCAGAGGACTTTGAATTAGTTCTTGCTCTCAAACTGTTTTTAGTGATTTGAAAGTCTAAAAACTGGCATATGTGAACAACTTTATAGAAAAGCTATTCGACTGGCATCCTTTTAACTCGTGCAATCACATGTAATGTAGTAATATGACAATGGGGGTTGTATTTGCATGTAAATTACATTGACATTTTCAGCGGCAGTGTGTTATGAAATTGACAAGGTGCACGGTAAAGCTGACATTGTGGGGACCTTGATAGCGATTCATACATCGGGGCTAAGCAGCTCAAATCTGCACAAGAGGGAGATTACTCATGGATCTTCATTGTTTTGGTGCACATGCTGATAAGAGAGTCCAAACTTTCTCAAAGAGAATGTCATGTGAATTTCTATCTCTAATTCAACCTAAGCTTGAATCATTACCAGAGGTTGTAAGGCTCTGGTTTTCATCATCAATGATTCAAGGTCCACAACCCACAAGGATGATCTGTATATTTATTCATGGAGAGCTCTGACGCCAAAAACACAAACATACAGTTTTATACTTCCTGAACTTGACTCCACCCACCTTTAGGTGGCTTTTCTAAACAGTTTCCGCCTTCCCCTTCCCCCTTGAATGTTTAGTACCGCCCCCTCTGTTAGTGGGTTGACCCTACATGATAATTCTAACATTTATACTGTATTTGGGGTGAAATCCTTTAGTCATTATTCTTAAAATCCAAATTAATCTAACAGAGAATAATGGAAACAATAAGCATATAATTAAAAAAGCTAAATAAACTCATTGATTGCCGACTTCAAGTACAGCGATAATTATTCCCCTCACGGCAACTGTAGGAAGGCGTGTGCACACAGCAAAAGTACAAACGGCCAAGTAGCCAGCCGTGCTCGCTACACCAGTTACATTCACGCAGGCTATAGTAGAGTGCATTTAAAATTCCCATTGCGTCATCAATAAAATGTACATTTAGACAAAACTAGAATAAACCAAACATTTCCTGTCTCTGGGAAATTAAAGGAGAAGAAAGGTCATTCACACTGTGGCGCTTGTGAAGTGCATTTATTTACCACCTATATATTTTCACATTAGGTCTACGTGACAGACTGACAGTCAAATAAGTTGCATTGGGACAGCGTTGGACTATCTGGGGATAAAGAGATGACAGACGGTAGTCCGGTGGTAGCGACGGTCTGTGTGGACAGTTAGCCGGGGGGCCAGCCCAACTGGCGTCCGCCCATCACATGGATATGAATGTGGTAGACTGACTGGCCACCGTCGGGCCCGTCGTTCACGACCAGCCTGTAGCCCTTGGCCAGGCCGATCTGCTCGGCACACTTCTTGGCCACTATCATCATGTGGCCCAGGAGCTGTGACATCACAAGGGAAGAAAAATAGACTTTATTTTGTATTTATTTAACTAGGCAAGTCAGTTAAGAACAAATTCTTATTTATAATGACGGGCTACCAAAAGGCCTCCTGGTTGGGACGGGGGAGGGGATAAAAAAATAATAAATAGGACAAAACACTCATCACGACAAGAGAGCCACCACAACACTACATATAGAGAGCCACCACAACACTACATAAAGAGAGCCACCACAACACTACATAAAGAGAGCCACCACAACACTACATAAAGAGAGAGACACCACAACACTACATAAAGAGAGCCACCACAACACTACATAAAGAGAGCCACCACAACACTACATAAAGAGAGCCACCACAACACTACATAAAGAGAGCCACCACAACACTACATATAGAGAGACACCACAACACTACATAAAGAGAGCCACCACAACACTACATAAAGAGAGCCACCACAACACTACATAAAGAGAGCCACCACAACACTACATAAAGAGCCACCACAACACTACATAAAGAGAGCCACCACAACACTACATAAAGAGAGCCACCACAACACTACATATAGAGAGACACCACAACACTACATAAAGAGAGACGCCACAACACTACATAAAGAGAGACGCCACAACACTACATAAAGAGAGACACCACAAGACTACATAAAGAGAGCCACCACAACACTACATAAAGAGAGCCACCACAACACTACATAAAGAGAGCCACCACAACACTACATAAAGAGACACCACAACACTACATAAAGAGAGCCACCACAACACTCCATAAAGAGACACCACAACACTCCATAAAGAGACACCACAACACTCCATAAAGAGAGCCACCACAACATTACATAAAGAGCCACCACAACACTACATAAAGAGACACCACAACACTCCATAAAGAGACACCACAACACTCCATAAAGAGACACCAAAACACTACATAAAGAGAGCCACCACAACATTACATAAAGAGCCACCACAACACTCCATAAAGAGACACCACAACACTCCATAAAGAGACACCAAAACACTACATAAAGAGAGCCACCACAACATTACATAAAGAGAGAGCCACCACAACACTACATAAAGAGAGAGACACCACAACACTACATAAAGAGAGCCACCACAACACTACATAAAGAGAGCCACCACAACACTACATAAAGAGAGCCACCACAACACTACATAAAGAGAGCCACCACAACACTACATAAAGAGAGCCACCACAACACTACATAAAGAGAGCCACCACAACACTACATAAAGAGAGAGACACCACAACACTACATAAAGAGAGCCACCACAACACTACATAGAGAGCCACCACAACACTACATAAAGAGAGCCACCACAACACTACATAAAGAGAGCCACCACAACACTACATAAAGAGACACCACAACACTACATAGAGCCACCACAACACTACATAAAGAGAGCCACCACAACACTACATAAAGAGAGCCACCACAACACTACATAAAGAGACACCACAACACTACATAGAGAGACAACACAACACTACATAGAGAGACAACACAACACTACATAGAGCCACCACAAGACTACATAAAGAGAGCCACCACAACACTACATAAAGAGAGCCACCACAACACTACATAAAGAGAGCCACCACAACACTACATAAAGAGAGCCACCACAACACTACATAAAGAGAGCCACCACAACACTACATAAAGAGAGCCACCACAACACTACATAAAGAGAGCCACCACAACACTACATAAAGAGAGCCACCACAACACTACATAAAGAGAGCCACCACAACACTACATAAAGAGCCACCACAACACTACATAAAGAGAGCCACCACAACACTACATAAAGAGAGCCACCACAACACTACATATAGAGAGACACCACAACACTACATAAAGAGAGACGCCACAACACTACATAAAGAGAGACGCCACAACACTACATAAAGAGAGACACCACAACACTACATAGAGAGACACCACAACACTACATAAAGAGAGCCACCACAACACTACATAAAGAGAGCCACCACAACACTACATAAAGAGACACCACAACACTACATAGAGAGACACCACAACACTACATAAAGAGAGCCACCACAACACTACATAAAGAGACACCACAACACTACATAAAGAGACACCACAACACTCCATAAAGAGACACCACAACACTCCATAAAGAGAGCCACCACAACACTACATAAAGAGAGCCACCACAACACTACATAAAGAGAGAGACACCACAACACTACATAAAGAGAGCCACCACAACACTACATAAAGAGAGCCACCACAACACTACATAGAGAGCCACCACAACACTACATAAAGAGAGCCACCACAACACTACATAAAGAGAGCCACCACAACACTACATAAAGAGACACCACAACACTACATAGAGCCACCACAACACTACATAAAGAGAGCCACCACAACACTACATAAAGAGACACCACAACACTACATAGAGAGACAACACAACACTACATAGAGAGACAACACAACACTACATAAAGAGAGCCACCACAACATTACATAGAGAGCCACCACAACACTACATAGAGCCACCACAACACTACATAAAGAGCGCCACCACAACACTACATAAAGAGAGCCACCACAACACTACATAAAGAGACACCACAACACTACATAAAGAGAGCCACCACAAGACTACATAAAGAGAGCCACCACAACACTACATAAAGAGAGCCACCACAACACTACATAAAGAGACACCACAACACTACATAGAGCCACCACAACACTACATAAAGAGAGCCACCACAACACTACATAAAGAGAGCCACCACAACACTACATAAAGAGAGCCACCACAACACTACATAAAGAGAGCCACCACAAGACTACATAAAGAGAGCAACCACAAGACTACATAAAGAGAGCCCACAACACTACATAAAGAGAGCCACCACAACACTACATAAAGAGAGCCAACCACAACACTACATAAAGAGAGCCACCACAACACTACATAAGAGAGACACCACAACACTACATAAAGAGAGACACCACAACACTAATAAAGAGAGACACCACAACCACTACATAAAGAGACACCACAACACTACTATAAAGAGACCACCACAACAATAAAGAGAACCACCACAACACTACATAAAGAGAGACACCACAACACTACATAAAGAGACACCACAACACTACATAAAGAGACACCACAACACTACATAAAGAGAGCCACCACAACACTACATAAAGAGAGACACCACAACACTACATAAAGAGAGCCACCACAACACTACATAAAGAGACATCTCAACACTACATAAAGAGAGCCACCACAACACTACATAAAGAGAGCCACCACAACACTACATAAAGAGAGCCACCACAACACTACATAAAGAGAGCCACCACAACACTACATAAAGAGAGCCACCACAACACTACATAAAGAGAGCCACCACAAGACTACATAAAGAGAGCCACCACAACACTACATAAAGAGAGCCACCACAACACTACATAAAGAGAGCCACCACAACACTACATAAAGAGACATCTCAACACTACATAAAGAGAGCCACCACAACACTACATAGAGCCACCACAACACTACATAAAGAGAGCCACCACAACACTACATAAAGAGAGCCACCACAACACTACATAAAGAGACACCACAACACTACATAAAGAGAGACCTAAGACAACAACATTGCATGGCAGCAACACATGACAGACAAAGTTTAACAAAACACAACAAACAATGATGAGTATTTCTTGCTAATCCTAGGCGCTGGAATCCCATTTGGGCCAAATGTTCTGCGAAATCACTGAACAACCTGCTTAAAGAGACTAAAACAACTATCCATTAGCAACTAAGCAACCTTGAGTCTTGAGCTAGCCCCGGCTATCTACCTCTCCGTCTACCGGACGGGAGTAGCCAGCTAACCAGCTAACTAGCTACTTGCTATTAGCCACCGTTAGCGGCTTTTTCTCCATTGTCCGTGGCCTGCACTACCTACCAGCCGGCTATCTACCTCTCTGTCAACCGGACGGGACCTCCTAGAGTCGACACGGAGCCCTGCCGATCCATCACGACTGGTCTGCCGACGTAATCTGTGTAACCGTGTTGCTAAGAATATATTAGTCGCTGATCATGTCCTTGGCAGTGAGAATGTAGCACTACGAGTTGTGAAAGTGTGCCATAGGTCATTGCACTGGTATAGCTAACTATTAATATTGTTGTAGAAAAACATTTAGATGTTTATGTGGAATAGTATATGTTAACACCCTTGTTGATGCATGCCAATGTGTGTGTCAATGCAAAGAAAATCTAAATCTACATTGTAACAATTCATATACAATTCAGTATGAAAATGTATGCACTCACTAACTGTAAGTCGCTCTGGATAAGAGCGTCTGCTAAATGACTAAAAATGTAAAATGTAAATGTAATCGTCTGTGGTTTCAACAGGCTTCCCGTTGCGACGACCACGAAGACCCATCCGCCCGCTAGCACACGCAAACTACAACAGTGCTTCCTGCTCGCTGTGCTGAAGCACCAATTTCAACTGCTCTCGGATTCACATATTGCTGTTCACTGGACCTTATGATCACTCAGCTGCACAGCTGATGCCTGCTGGACTGTTCCTTTACACGGTGTCCTGTCCTGTTTATTCTGTTTAGCCTCAGCCCAAACTTTCGTCGCCATTACCAGTTGTTGTCTTAGCTCTCTCTAATAACACCTGTGATTGCTTTATGCCTCTCTCCCATGTCATATTGCTGTTGCAGTTAGTTCTTATTATACAATTTCACTGTAGAACCCCAAGTCCCTCTCAAACTGCCTCAAATAGTTCCTTTGTTCCACCCCCCATACACGCTGAGACCTGCTCAATTGGTGCCTCCAGTGATGCTATCTCTTTCATTGTTACCCAACGCTTAGGTTTACCTCCACTGTACTCATATCCTTCCATATCCTTGTCTGTACATAATGCCCTGAATCTTTTCTACAACGCCCGGAAATCTGCCCCCTTTATTCTCTGTACCCAACGCACTAGAAGACCAGTTCTTAAAGCCTTTGGCCGTATCCTTATTCTAGTCCTCCTCTGTTCCTCTGGTGATGTAGAGGCTAACCCAGGCCCTGCAGACCCAGTATCACTCCTACTCATTTGTTGACTTCTGTAACCGTAAAAGCCTTGGATTCTGCACGTTAACATCAGAAGTCTACTTCCTAAGTTTGAGTTATTCACTGCGTTAGCACACTCCGCCAACCCTGATGTTCTAGCAGTGTCTGAATCCTGGCTTAGGAAGGCCACCAAAAATTCTGAAATTTCCATCCCCAACTCCAACATTTTCCATCTAGATAGAACTGCCAAAGGGGGTGGTTGCAATCTACTGTAGAGATCTATCATACTATCCAGGTCTGTGCCCAAACAGTTTGAGCTTCTACTTCTAAAAATCCACCTTTCCAGAAATAAGTCTCTGTTGCCGCTTGCTACAGACCCCCCTCAGCCCCCAGCTGTGCCCTGGACACCATATGTGAATTGATTGCCCCCCATTTATCCTCAGAGTTCGTACTGCTTGGTGACCTAAATTGGGATATGCTTAACCCCCCGGCCATCCTACGATCCAAACTAGATGCCCTCAAGCTCACACAAATTATCAACGAACCTACCAGGTACAACCCTAAATCCGTAAACATGGGTACCCTCATAGATATCATCCTGACTAACTTACCCTCTAAATAAACCTCCGCTGTCTTCAACCAGGATCTCAGCGATCACTGCCTTTTTGCCTGTGTCCGTAACGGGTCCGCGGTCAAACGACCACCCCTCATCACTGTCAAACGCTCCCTAAAACACTTTAGCAAGCAGGCCTTCCTAATTGACCTGGCCCAGGTATCCTGGATGGATATAGATCTCATTCCGTCAGTAGAGGATGCCTGGTTGTTCTTTAAAAGTAATTTCCTCTCAATCTTAAATAAACATGCCCCATTAAAAAAATACAGAACTAAGAACAGATATAGCCCCTGGTTCTCCTCAGACTTGACTGCCCTTGACCAGCACAAAAACATCCTGTGGCGTACTGCATTAGCATCAAATAGCCCCCGTTTTTGCAACTTTTCAGGGAAGTCAGGAACCAATATACACAAGCAGTTAGGAAAGCAAAGGCTAACTTTTTCAAACAGAAATGTGCATCCTGTAGCACTAACTCCAAAAAGTTTTCGGACACTGTAAAGTCCATGGAGAATAAGAGCACCTCCTCCCAGCTGCCCACTGCACTGAGGCTAGGAAACACTATCACCACCGATAAAGCTACAATAATCGAGAATTTCAACAAGCATTTTGCTACGGCTGGCCATGCTTTCCACCTGGATACCACTACCCCGGCCACCAGCTCTGCACCCTCCGCTGCAACTTGCCCATGCCCCCCCCGCTTCTCCTTCACACAAATTCAGACAGCTGATGTTCTGAAAGAGCTGCAAAATCTGGACCCCTACAAATCATCTGGGCTAGACAATCTGGACCCTTTCTTTCTAAAACTAGCCGCCGATATTGTCGCAACCCCTATTACTAGCCTGTTCAACCTCTCTTTCGTAACGTCTGAGATCCCCAGAGATTGGAAAGCTGCCGCGGTCATCCCCCTCTTCAAAGGGGGTGACACTCTAGATCCAAACTGTTACAGACCCATATCCATCCTGCCCTGTCTTTCTAATGTTTTTGAAAGCCAAGTTAACAAACAGATCACTGACCATTTCGAATCCCACCGTACCTTCTCCGCTATGCAATCCAGTTTCCGAGCTGGTCATGGGTGCACCTCAGCCACGCTCAAGGTCCTAAACGATATTATAACCGCGATCTATAATAGACAGTACTGTGCAGCCGTCTTCATCGACCTGGCCAAGGCTTTCGACTCTGTCAACCACTGCATTCTTATTGGCAGACTAAATAGCCTTGGTTTCTCAAATGACTGCCTCGCCTGGTTCACCAACTACTTCTCAGATAGAGTTCAATGTGTCAAATCGGAGGGCCTGTTGTCTGGACCTATGGCAGTCTCTATGGGGGTGCCACAGGGTTCAATTCTTGGGCCGACTCTATTCTCTGTGTATATCAATGACGTCGCTCTTGCTGCTGGTGACTCAGATCCACCTCTATGCAGACGACACCATTTTGTATACATCTGGCCCTTCATTGGACACTGTGTTAACAAACCCCCAAACGAGCTTCAATGCCATACAACACTCCTTCAGTAGCCTCCAATTGCTCTTAAACACTAGTAAAACTAAATGCATGCTCTTCAAATCGAACGCTGCTGGCACCCGCCCACCCGACTAGAATCACTACTCTCGGCGGGTCTGACCTAGAGTATGTGGACAACTACAAATACCTAGGTGTCTGGTTAGACTGTAAACTCTCCTTTCAGACTCACATTAAGCATCTCCAATCCAAAGTTAAATCTAGAATAGGCTTCCTATTTCGCAACAAAGCCTCCTTCACTCATGCTGCCAAACATGCCCTCGTAAAACGGACTATCCTACCGATCCTTGACTTCGGCGATGTCATTTACAAAATAGCCTCCAACACTCTACTCAGCAAATTGGATGTAATCTATCACAGTGCCATCTGTTTTGTCACCAAAGCCCCATGTACTACCCACCACTGTGACCTGTACGCTCTTGTTGGCTGGTCCTCACTACATATTCGTCGCCAAACCCACTGGCTCCAGGCCATCTATAAATCACTGCTAGGCAAATCCCCGCCTTATCTTAGCTCATTGGTCACCATAGCAGCACCCACCCGTAGTCTGCGCTCCAGCAGGTATCTCTCACTGGTCATCCCCAAAGCCAACACCTCCTTTGGCCGCCATTCCTTCCAGTTCTCTGCTGCCAATGACTGGAACGAATTGCAAAAATCTCTGAAGCTGGAGACTCTTATCTCCCTCACTAACTTTAAGCATCAGTTGTCAGAGCACCTTACCGATCACTGCACCTGTACACAGCCCATCTGAAATTAGCCCACCCAACTACCTCATCCCCATATTGTTATTTATTTTGCTCATTTGCACCCCAGTATCTCTATTTGCACATCATCTCTTGCACATCTATCATTCCAGTGTTAATACTAATTGTAATTATTTTGCACTATAGCCTATGTATTGCCTTACCTCCATAACTTACTACATTTGCACACACTGTATATATATATTTTCTGTTGTATTTTTGACTATATGTTTTGTTTACCCCATATGTAACTCTGTGTTGTTGTTTTTTTTAATCGCACTGCTTTGCTTTATCTTGGCCAGGTCGCAGTTGTAAATGAGAACTTGTTCTCAACTGTCTTACCTGGTTAAATAAAGGTGAAATAAAAAAATAAAAATAAACTATGGATATATAAAAACACATTTTATAACAGTGCCAAAATCCTTAACTGCTCAGAATTGATTAGGCTTCACGTTCTGACAGGTTTCCAATGTTCTTTACATCTGAAACATGAACTGAATAAAAACATTGGCTACACCCATAACAGAACAAACTCCTCGACTCCTAGGGACGTTTTCTGGTAGGTTTCCAATTGGTAAAGAGTTCCATCTGCTGGTCATTCATCATCTTCTACAGTTGTCAACCAATCCACCCCTACAGAGCAACATTGCATAGGGTTTTATTCCCAGGCCCAGCACTAACACAACAGACAACTAATCAAGGGTTCAATGTTCAGTTTGACCAGTTAAACCAGCTATGTTAGTGCTGGGATGGAACAAAAGCATACACACTGTAGCTCTCCAGGATCAGGTGTTTGTCACCTGGTCTAGGTTACAGAACTGATGCAACTGAATGAATGAGTTGAGGTGGTGTCATACTTACAGCCGCATCACTGTCCTCTGCTTTAGACAGTTGCACAATTGGTTTTCTCGGGACAACCAAAAAATGAGTAGGGGCCTGTGGGGTAACATCATGGAAGGCTATGCACTGAAACACACACACAGAATGAAAGTAAATAGAACATAGATTTTAATTAACAGCTCCATAGAACTCATTCATACACTCATTATATACTTTAAATCCAATGAGGAAAACTTTGATTAAGTAAAAAAGTGCTGTTGTTAATAGTTTATTCATCACACGTTTTCTTGGCACGTGCACTTTGACTGCAGCAACTCAATAGCTTATTCTAGGCAAGACAAATTCATTTTCACGATTTTACATTTTTGGTCTCATTCAGTCGTTTTTTTACCGAATTAAGTAGAATCCTGTTGAAAAATAATGTAAAAAGTACCATTTATATTAATAAAACACAAGTTGAAAATGATACCGTTAATGCTTCCTGTTGTCATGGATTTTTTTTATTATAGCCGAGTGTCAAAACACCGGTTTCAAATGTCCAAATTCATAATCAATGTGCTGAAATAAATTGTGATGTTGAAGACCAAGACAACAATTACTCCCTATACACACACCTCACACTTGTGTTCAGATTACTTGTATTTTTACTTGTATTTTGCTAAATTAGTACCTTGTAAACTGCTCACTCACTAATATTTACCAAGCGGTCACTCCAGACTGAAATTGATTAGCTCACATCGATTTTGAATAGAAATCAATGGAACTGGGCCAATAACTGCGGCAACATGTACCGTTTGCGCTCTTCTAAATGACAAACCACAACGAACTAGGGTATACTATATGTAACTGTGGATAGATGAGAACATGTAGTAAGCTTTTATCAACTAATTCCTTGTGGGGACATTTTTACGGTAGATGGCCACACGAAATAAAGGCAAAAAATTTTTGGACTGGATAATTTCCACGAATCATCTCTCCACAGGTAGCTCTAAATAGTGACAGGGGTTGGCTTTCGTTTGAATGATAGTATGACCGGTGTAAAATGGCTAGCTAGTTAGCGGTGCGCGCTAGTAGCATTTCAATCGGTGATGGCACTCGCTTTGAGACCGTGAAGTAGTTGTTTCCCTTGCTCTGCTTCGTGGGAGGCAGTTGTTGATGTGTTCAGAGGGTCCCTGGTTCGAGCCCAGATTGGGGCGAGGAGAGGGACGGAAGCAAGACTGTTACATTGATGCTGTTGTCCCGGATTACTGGTTGCTGCGGAGAAGGATGTCAAAAGGGGGTGAGTGTAACCGGTGTGATATGGCTACCTAGTTAGCGGTGTGACCTAGTGGCAATCGGTGACATCACTCGCTCCGAGACCATGAAGTAGTTGTTTACATTTACATTTTAGTCATTTAGCAGACGCTCTTATCCAGAGCGACTTAGTTAGTGAATGCATACATGTTTTTTTTTAAATTCATACTGGCCCCCCGTGGGAAACGAACACACATCCCTGCCGGCCAAACCCTCCCCTACCTTGGACGACGCTGGACCAATTGTGCGCCGCCCATGTGTCTCCCGATCGCGGCCGGCTGCGACAGAGCCTGGACTCGAACCAGGATCTCTAGTGGCACAGCTAGCACTGCGATGCAGTGCCTTAGACCACTGCGCCACTTGGGAGTTGTTTCCCTTGCTCTGCAAGGGCCGGGGCTTTTGTGGAGCGATAGGTAACGATACTTCGTGGGAGGCAGTTGTTCAAACCCAGGTTGGGGCAAGGAGAGGGACAGAAGTAACACTGTTACAATAGCTTGACTACCAAATCAGTGTTATTAGTTTGTGGCCAGTGATTTTAACACTGACAGCGCCACGAATTGTCTGCGCCATTTTGAGTTCGAAAATTACAGTGTTAATGGTAGACTCAGCGAAATGACGTTGCCACGACGAGCAGCACCAGAGATATTGAGACGAGCAAGATGCAAGACTTCGCTGTCACACGGTGCAGGGGTTTGCTTGGTAGCCAGGGCACCAAAAAAACTGAGGAAGCTCCAACACTACTAGGCCCAATTCACTTTCAACGGAAGGAAAGCGAGAGAAGCGGAGTGGGCGATGCGAGCATGGCGAGGGCGCTAAACAGGGCGGGACTAAAGTTGGGGAAAGCTGAACTTTATTCAAATCCTCTGCGAATATCGGTGACGCAAGTAACCAATCGAAGCACACCATAGCTTCCAACCCCTACTGGATTGGCTGACAGTGGCTGTTCATGCGTAGCACTACCCACCTTGCTTGCTAGCTAGCTTGTTAGCACATGAGAGCGAGGCGAGGCTAGTGCTCCTTGTATTGTGTAAATGGCCGGTAAATTGTTATGGAAATTGCCCCATTATGTTTTTCACTTTCTGAATCTATGTCATATAGTTGAGTATAGCTTTAAGTCCTGCGACAGACAGGGGCGTCTAACAAAATCAATGGTACCAAAACCAAATATATTAATCTGATTCAAGCAATCGATTTAGTATCAGCGTGATGATTATACACTTATAATAACATCTCCAATCTGAGGTAAAAAAACATTTTAAAAAAGGATGAGGTGAAAATGCAAGCTTGTGTAATTTAGTAGTAACACGTTTTGTCCACAATAGGGACATTTGCGTGATTTAAAATAATTAAATATGTCAAAGTAATTAAATATTTTAGCATACAATAGTAAATGTAGCACACTCACATTTTTACAACAATGTATGACATCTACTTTTGAACGCTTGACGTCCCTGATTTTACAGTTTATGATAGCTCCAATGAGTAACATTACAGCCAGCTAGCTACCCCAGTTGTTACTGTATTTGTCTAAATACCTGGGTAATAACGGATTAATTGATAACTGGTGTTTCGCTATCAGTTTAGTTAACCAAAGTAGCCTTAGCTAGACTCAGCTAGCTAGCTAGGTGGCTTAACCGTACCATTCTTTGTTTAGTTAGCTACGGCTAGCTACATGAATGGTGTTTGCATGAAAAATTATAAATTCACACCTGATCATCTTCAAAAAATATTTTTGCAGGAATCTCCTTGCGAATGATTTTGCCGAAAATTGTATCTCCGCCGGCCTTAGCAGCCTGAGCTTTCGCTATCTCGTCAGCCATGGCGCTAGACTTTGGTATTTGTAGCGCGCATGCGCTTGAACCTTTGCCTCATAGGTTAAAATTCATGGGCTCTGCAGAACGGCAAAACCAAACGATTGGTTAAAAATAATGATTGCCATTTTGGGATTGTCTGCGTCACTAAGGCCAATCATCAAAGACAGTACAGTATGAAGGTAGGCTAAAACTGCTTCTCCAATAGAAATCACACTCGTAGGTGATGTCACGGCCAAGTTGGCTAGCTAAGCTAATGCGTATATACACGTCATCGGGTCTAACGGTCGTCTCACGCCAAACTGCGCATGTGCAGGCCGTCAAATCAAAGGCACACCTTCGATATAAAGTTGTTTTTGACGAAAATGAAAACGTGTCAGTTTGTCACTCTAACGAACCTGGAGTAGTAACAAGTTCAGATACTTAAGGCATTGGCTCAAATCTAGGTTGAGCCTTTAGATTTCGAGAAAATTAACAACTAAGGAAGAATATTTTCCACTTCTCTCATTGACTTCTCTAACCCCAGACCTCGGCTTGGTCGGCTTCGCAAGCGTTCCCGAAAGTCTCGCGATGTTGCGCCTCTGTGTTTAGAAACTCTGTGGTATCATCACTTCCTACAGTAAACGCGGATGTGCGCGGAAGCAGAGGTGTGTAATCACAGACAGAACAATGAGACAGATATTTCACCGGATGTATAAATGAGAAGCATCCGCTTGACGTTTCCACTCACTAACAAAGTCCAGTGGCCGGCAGTGGGGGAAGATGGAACGAAATGGATTTTGGCCGACATTCTGCACATTTTGTCATCCGTAAAACATTTGATCTCAATACAGTTTTCTGTTCTTGAAACTATAATCTATTATGAACAGAGTGGACTAAGTTTTGTAGACTTTACCCTGTCTCAACGTAAAAAAAAAAAATCGCGTTGTTTAGAAGGAGTGCAAAGGCGAATTTAGGAATTGTGCACCGCACAGAGTGGGCGTTCCCTAATCGAAACATGCAAATATTTGCTAGAACGCGCCAATAGGATCTCGCTAACTTATGCTTGGCTCCGCCTACCTCCTTGCTTGTTCTGCCCACTATGACTAATTTGTTCCCATTGGAAACGACAGGCTGTGCTCTATCTTGGGCATGGTACAACTTACCTTAATACTACTAAGTAGTTTTTTGGGGATCGGACTTCATTACTTTTTTTTGCTAACATTTACTTACTACATTCCTAAAAAAATAATGAATTTTTACTCCTATCATTGTCCATACACCCAAAGTACAAATTCATGCCTTACCAAGAGAACATCCTTGTCATCCTTATGCCTCTATGGAGGACTCATCAACACAAATGCTTTGTTTGTACAATTTTCTAAGTGTTGAGTGTTTCGCTGTACCGTAAAAATAAATAATAATATTGTTATGGATTAGCTTATTAGATTTGAAATGATTTATACTTTTAGCTTTGATACTTAAGTTATCTTTACAATTACAATTGCTTTTGATACTTAAGTATTTAAAACCAAATACTTTTACTCAAGTAGCATTTTACTGGGTGACTTCCACTTTTACTTTAGTCATTTTCTATTAAGGTATCTTTACTTTTACTCAAGTATGACAATTGAGTACTTTCTCCATCACTGATTTTGGGTTAGTTATACAAATCTTTGGTGTAATCATTAGTCCAGCAACTAAAACGAGAGTTTCTATTGGACAAATTCAGCTAGGTCCCTCTCCGTTTTGTTCTGTTCGCTTCCGTTTAAGAAACATTTTGCAACAGAACGAATACGCCTCTGGTAAACCTCAATTTTATACATAGAGATAGAGGACTTCTTCTTCTTTGGTATCATGGCGTTTGCACATTTTGTTTGTCCATGGAGCCACCTACTGTGCTGTAGTGTGTGGTCGATCACGTTACATTTTGTGATATAAAAAGGAAGGGGAAAATAAAATAATTGCACCACCAACTCACCCTACACCTACACTGAGTGTACAAAACATGAAGAACACCTTCCTAATATTGAGTTGACCCCCCCCAGTTCTTGACACAAACCGGTGCGCCAGAATCACCACCTCATTCCACTACTTTGACCCTAACTGATCTAACGTCAGGCCGACGGTCTAGGAGGACGGGACGTCAACCTGTCTCTTTTGCAAAAAACAACACAATTCAAAAATAAAATACATTTAAAAAACCATCCCACTCCTTCAGTCATTGTCCAAATCACATCCCTACACAGGCTCAGGGGCCTGTGAGGACGGAAAATTTGTCGACAGGATTCCTTGTAATGCCTCTAATGTAAAATCCCAGTCACAAAAAAACGTTCAGCCGCATTCACAACGATGCCTATTTTATCAGATTTCCAATGCAATATATAACTAATGCAATAAACAATACCTTTTAACAATAAAGTCCACCTTTTTAACATGCAACATGTCAGGATCCTGTTGGCGAGTAACATTTACCGGTTTCTCTAATCCAACTACCGTGGTTTCTTACACGTTTCGCCCTTCTTCCACTCTTCTCAACGCCTCCAGATAGGAGACATGCTGGACAGCCCTTACTCTTGCCACCTCGGTCTCCTTCACCCTAACAGGGCACTACATGAATTCGGGCGCATGCTCTCTACCACAATTGCAACCTTTTCGCCTCAACTGGCATATGATACTCATCCCGTCTACATACCCTTGACAAGTCCAAATAGTTTACATTTATCACACTAGATGGGTTTGGGCACGAAGACTCTTACAGGGTATCTCACATAACCCAAATATACAGTACCAGTCAAAAGTTTGGACACACCTGCTCATTCAAGGGTTTTTCTTTATTTTTACTATTTTCGACATTGTAGAATAATAGTGAAGACATCAAAACTATGAAATAACACATATGGAATCATGTAGTAACCAAAAAAAGTGTTAAACAAATCTAAATATTTTATATTTGAGATTCTTCAAATAGCCACCCTTTGACTTGATGATAGCTTTGCACACTCTTGGCATTCGCTCAACTTATCACATTTCAGGAGAAGACCCAGATGCAGACAGTGTTGAAGTAACAAAAGTTCATTACAAAAACAGGGGGCAGGCAAATGACAGGTCAAGGGCAGGCAGAGGTCAGTAATCCAGATCAGAGTCCAAAAGGTAAAGAATGGCAGGCAGTCTCAGAGTAGGCAGAGGTCAATAATCCAGGGTGGTGTGACAAGGTACAGAACGGCAGGCAGAATGGTCAAAACTGGGAAAACAGGAACTTGATAACTACAGGCGCAAGGGGAAAACCGCTGGTAGGCTTGACGAGACAAAACGAACTGGCAACAGACAAACAGAGAACACAGGTATAAATACACTGGGGATAATGGGGAAGATGGGCGACACCTGGAGGGGGGTGGAGACAATCACAAAGACAGGTGAAACAGATCAGGGTGTGACACAACCAGCTTCATGAGGTAGTCACCTGGAATGCCTTTCAATTCACAGGTGTGCCTTGTTGAAAGTTAATTTGTGGAATGTATTTCCTTCTTAATGCGTTTGAGCCAATCAGTTGTGTTGTGACAAGCTAGGGGTGCTATACAGAAGATAGCCCTATTTGGTAAAAGACCAAGTCCATATTATGGCAAGAACAGCTCAAATAAGCAAAGAGAAACGACAGTCCATCATTACTTTAAGACAGGTCAGTCAATCTGGAAAATGTTAAGAACTTTGAAAGTTTCTTCAAGTGCAGTCGCAAAAACCACCAAGCGCTATGATGAAACTGGCTCTCATGAGGACCACCACAGGAAAGGAAGACCCAGCATTACCTCTGCTGCAGAGGATAAGTTCATTAGAGTTAACTGCACCTCAGATTGCAGCCCAAATAAATGCTTCACAGAGTTCAAGTAACAGACACATCTCAACATCAACTGTTTAGAGGAGACTGCGTGAATCAGGCCTTCATGGTCGAATTGCTGCAAAGTAACCACTACTAAAGGACACCAATAATAATAAGAGACTTGCTTGGGCCAAGAAACACGAGCAATGGACATTTGACTGGTGGAAATGTGTCCTTTGGTCTGGGAGTCCAAATTTGAGATTTTTGGTTCCAACCGCCGTGTCTTTGTGAGACCCAGAGTAGGTGAACGAATGATCTCTGCATGTGATACTGTCAGTGATTTATTTAAGAATTCAAGGCACACTTAACCAGCATGGCTAACACAGCATTCTGCAGCGATATGCCATCCCATCTGGTTTGCGCTTAGTGGGTCTATCATTTGTTTTTCAACAGGATAATGACCCAAAACACACCTCCAGGGCTATTTGACCAAGAAGGAGAGTGATGGAGTGCTGCATCAGATGACCTGGCCTCCACAATCACCCGACCTCAACCCAATTGAGATGGTTTGGGATGAGTTGGACCGCAGAGTGAAGGAAAAACAGCCAACAAGTGCTCAGCATATGTGGGAACTCCTTCAAGACTGTTGGAAAAGCATTCCTCATGAAGCTGGTTGAGATATTGCCAAGATTGTGCAAAGCTGCCATCAAGGCAAAGGGTGGCTACTTTGAAGAATCTAAAATCGAAAATATATTTTGATTTGTTTAACACTTTTGGTTACTACATGATTCCATATGTGTTATTTCATAGTTTTGATGTCTTCACTATTATTCTACAATGTAGAAAATAGTAAAAATAAAGAAAAACCCTTGAATGAGTAGGTGTGTCCAAACTTTTGACTGGTACTGTACATGCGAAGGAAGAGACTCTCTTCAAAGAACAAAAGAATGGATGGAGTGGGCTTCCTCACTCCATCAACCATACGGGTCAGTCGGCGTGCACCAACCACTCCATCCACCATACGGGTCAGTCGGCGTGCACCAACCACTCCATCCACCTTGCGGGTCAGTCGGCGTGCACCAACCACTCCATCCACCTTGCGGGTCAGTCGGCGTGCACCAACCACTCCATCCACCTTGCGGGTCAGTCGGCGTGCACCAACCACTCCATCCACCATACGGGTCAGTCGGCGTGCACCAACCACTCCATCCACCTTGCGGGTCAGTCGGCGGGCACCAACCACTCCATCCACCATACGGGTCAGTCGGCGTGCACCAACCACTCCATCCACCATACGGGTCAGTCGGCGTGCACCAACCACTCCATCCACCATACGGGTCAGTCGGCGTGCACCAACCACTCCATCCACCTTGTGGGTCAGTCGGCGTGCACCAACCACTCCATCCACCATACGGGTCAGTCGGCGTGCACCAA